TTTGATGTAATTTGATTTTTCCTCCATTCCCTGTATTGTCCAAGTCTTCTATAATGAATGTGCACTTACAAAGAATAAAATTAAAACGAGCTGCACCCTATAGCTCAAGGTCCCATCAATCCCGACCTTGCTTTGCATAAATAGAGTAGAGCAGAAATGAGGCACATGAAACTTTTTTTTATAGGACTACAAGGGAGTGGCTGATCTAGATAGTATACTCCAGCACTGTACTGGCCCAGCAGGTGGCCACTACCAATCCTGGGTGACATGCTGGACACACTACACGTGACTAGTCCAAGCTGAAATGGGCTGTAAATGCAAAATATACATTGGATTTTAAACACTTTGGTCCAAAAAAACTAAAGAAATCTCTTAACAGTTTTCAGCATATCAATTAAATGTTGAAATGATAGTACTTTGGGTATATTAGGCTAAAAAAACACTGAGGTTGATTTCACATCATTGTCAAATGAGGCTACCAGAAATGAACTCACAGTTTACACTAATTCGTATATTCAAACAAAGCCAGCAGCATGGCTGTCACCTGGGATCTTGTTCAAAGGCAGAGTTTTGGGCCCCAGCCCTGGAGTGCTAAGCAGAATATGCATGTTAACAAGACCCTCAGTTGATCAACATACACACTGAATACTGAGATGCACAGTTAAAGAAAACTTGTATTTTCCCTAAGCGTGACAATCTCACTTTTCTTCAATTTACCCAATCATTAAAATGCTACAAGGCTTTTGTGACAATTCTAGACAACAAGAACCTAAGGTGCATAAAAAATGCAAAAGCGTATTTCACTACCTGTTTTGGTGGTTTCTATTCCACAGAAGATAACAAATTGAAAAATAACAATCCAGTTCTACTACGAACGCTTGTTTTTAAAAATGCAAATTTGCGCAAAAACAACTGATGCATCATGGACTTTCAAACCAACCTATTAATGCACCAAGAACATATCATAGTGTCTGTGCAAAACTGCCAGTGTCAATAGAAAAAAAGACTGAAAATCAATTAAAATACCATAGAGTGTCTATGGAGCCACAAGATGTTAGGAAAATCTAAAGGTGTCCACTTAATAATTTCACCAAAATAAGGAACTTAAAGAATACTAAAAAAATACAAGAAACATTTCAATTTAAAATGTAGCACGAATAGAAAAAAACAGCATATGACAAAAGTAGTGTAAACTTAGTGCACAAGAATACTGTGCTGATACAAACAATGAACTCATTTAGAGGAAGACGCCGTTCTGGTCTCCAAAGTCCTTTCCTGTATGCCACTGCACCTGTTGATTCTACAGAGATGCATTACTCAAAACTAAAGCAAGCAGTTGCTTACGTCCCCATGCTTCTGACTGATTATAATTTAATAAAATTCTGACTGATCATAATTTAATAAAAGGAAATGCGCCCACAGGAAACCGAAAAAGAATTGATTCTCTCTGCTCCACACTCCCACTTAGTTATCTGCCACCCAAGAGAATTTACACAGAGAATCCATACTTATTCACAAGACTATACCAAAAACATCGTTTTGTGTGATTCACCTCCAAAAATGTGAATTTCTGAAGAGCTACTAGTGGAAGTGGGGTACTTAGGCCCTCAAAGTTTTGCTGAATAAACAATAACGAGCCTGTGAGTTCACACAATGAAAGAAAAGCTTTATCTGATTAAATTCAGTGTAGGAAGTGCTGGTTTCCTTTTTTTAAAATGAAATAAAAAATACAGCTAGTTTGAAGAATAGCTTGATGGTAAATCAGATTTTTTAAAATTTTTCAAATGCTGTTTGTATATCCTCTGTGTTTCTCCCCCATTTTTCACTGTCAAGAAGTAAGGTATAGACAAAGGGATCTGTAAGTTACATATAGGCCTTAATACTAAAGGTATACAAATACTAACACACTTTGAAAAAATAACCTCATTTCCAAGAAAATACAGAACAGATCCAACGTGGCTGAATAGGGTATAGCAACAATAATATGTTGCACGTTGCGGCCATCTGGGGAGTGAACCAGGGAAAGGAAGACCTTTCTCTCTGTCTCTCCCTCTCACTGTCTGTAACTCTACCTCTCAAATAAGTAAAATCTTGAAAGAAAATTCATGTGGAATCACAAAAGGCCACAAACAGTTGGAGTGATCTGGAACAAGAAAACCCAACCTGGATGAATCATAATGCTCGATTTCAAAGTATTCTACAAAGTTACAGTAATTAACACAGCTTAGTAATGGCATAAAATCCAACACGTAGCTCAATGGGACAGACGAGAGAGCCCAGAATTTAATCTGCATACAGATAGCCAGCTGACTTCTGACAAAAGTGCTCAGACCACACAGTGGCGTTAAGGATAATATTTTCAAAATGGCGCTGGCAAAACTGAATGCATATACGTAGAAGAACCAAAGTAGATCCATATCTCTCTTCACATACAAAAATCAACTGAAGATACATCAAGGACCCAATTTAAGACCTGACATTATGGACATTATGAGGCTGCTAGAAGAAAACGTGGGGAAACACTCAAAGACGATGGTGTGGGAACAACTTCTTGGATGGGAACCCCCGAAGCACAGGCAGCAAAAGCAAAACTAAGGAAACAGGACTATATCAAACTCAGAAACAAAGCACATGACAATTAGAGTGGAGAGACGTACAGCAGAACGGAAAAAATAGTTGCAGGGGATTAATATCCCAAATACACATGCAACTTAACAAAGTCAACAACAACAAAATCAATCCAGTTCGGAAGTGGAAAAGGACTTCAAGAGACAATTCTCAGAAAGAAGAAATACAAATACAAATGGCAAACAAACATATGAAAAAATGCTCAACATCTCCAGGCTTCAGGGAAACTCAAATCAAAACCACAATGAGGTATCTCCTTACCCCTATTAGAATGGCTGAAATCCAAACAACAGAGGAACAAGTGCTGGCTTGGATGTGGGGAAAGGGGAACACTTAGACACTGCTGGGAGGAATCTCAGGGAATCAAACAGAAAGAAATGTTTGTGTGTATCAGTACTGATGCGAATACAGTTTGTAAAACTTTGTTTTATGCCTTTGTGAAACCGATGGTTAAAAATGTTATCCTACCACAGTTTCAATGATCTACAGCTACTTAAAGATTTACCACAGAGGGATGAAACGCTCATTTCTCCGTTCAATTACTGTTTACACTCGGTGTCTATAGTCTCACTAAACTGGTATAATTTTGTTTTTTACTCGCTAAACTTATCTAGTGAAGTATTCAGCCTTTTTACTGTAATGTAATTTGAAAATTGGCTCAAAATCTAAACCAAAGACAGAAAGAAAAAGAAGAAGGAAACACAGTGGAAAGGAGAAAGGGGGAGGGAGGAAGGCAATATCATGGTGTTCTTACAGCTGTGTCTACAAAACACACTGAGTCTGCTAAACACTAATTAAAAGAAAAAAAGTAAAGACATACAAAGAAAACCGACGCACATCCATTTGTTCCCCACATCACCGCTTACCCATTTGCCAAACAAACTGCAAAAACGCAGTATAGAACTAAGTAAATAAGGTACATTCAATAAGTAAGAATTATTGAAATGTATTAACTATAAACAGGATATGGTAAAAAAAAAGCTACATCACGAAGCTTCACAGAGTACCAAAGTATTTACATAAAATGTGTGTACACATGAGAAAGATGAAGAGTATATGCAGAGAAATAAATATATGAAGGAAATGAAATTAAAACACATTGTAAGTTCTTAATTTCCTTTTAAAACTGTTGCTAAACTGTCATGGTTTTTCGAATTCAGAGAGACAAGGATTTGAAATCTTGGTTACCAAGCCAATTAAGGTCACCTGCATCCCATCCCTGAAGAACCCGGGTTCAGTATCCACCTCCGGCTCCTGACTCTAGCTTCCTGTTAAGGTGGATGGGGAAGGCAGTTGTGATTGCTCAAGAAATCGGGGAGCTGTTTCTGGCTCCTGCGTCTACCTTCCTGTAATGTGGACCTGGAGGGCAGTGGATAGGACTCAGGCATTTGGGTACCCATCACCCTTGCTGGGAACACGGAGTGAGTTCTCCAGTCCTCAACTCAGCCAGGCTCAGGCCCAGCAGTTGTGGGAATTGGGAAGTCAACCAGCAGATGAGAATCCTCTTTATGGCTGTTTCTTGCCGTGTGTGTGTGTGTGTGTGTGTGTGCGTGTGTGCGTGTGTGCATGTACACGCATGGGTATGAATATCTGCCTCTGAAATAAATCTTAAGAATACATAGAAACCACCCACTTTGGAAGAATTTTAACTTTAGTTGGTTAAGAGGCAAAGAGATGGAGCTCTCCCATTTACTCCCTTACTCCTTACATGCCTGCAGCAGCTAGGACTGGGTCAGGCTAAAGTTAAGAGCCAGGAACTCAGTCTCCCATGGGGCTGACAAGTACCCAGACACTTGCCATCACCTGCTGTCTCCCCAGGACACACCTCAGCAGGAAAGCTGGAACTGGAAACGATCCAGAGTTCCAATCCAGACGCTGGAACACAGGCCACAGACATCCCAAGCAGAAACTGAACTCCCACATCAAACGTGCGCCCCCAAGCATCTGACAAATGACGCCCACAGGCTGTGAGCCTAAAGCCAGGGCAAGGGGCACTCTCCAAGCTAGAGAAAACCCCCTCGCAACTGCCTGCCTAGCTTCCTTCCCCTTCATTTAGTAGATTACGACTGCTGTGACGTGTCCGGACCCAACCTGTTAATCCGTACTGCCCACCTGATGCCCACGCCACGGCCAACTCAAGCCGCCACTGCGCCCTCTCTCTCTTCTGCTGCCCAACGCAGAGCCACAGCCGCCTGCTTCACTGCCGCCCCAGCGTCACTGAGGCCCCGCCGCCTTCGCCGCGGCTGCCCATCACGTCAGCACCGCCGCCCCTACCTGCTGCTTCCTTCCCGGCCGCCCGACGCTGCTGACCCCGGACTCTGCACCAGAGCCGCCCCGCGGTATCTTTCCGCTCCGCCCCGCCCGCCACCGACCTGCGCCATCCAGAGCACCACGTCCCACGGGACGCCCACACGACAGCAGCCGCTTCCTGGCTTCCTGGTTCACTGCCGCTGCAGCCGTTGCCAGCGAACACTGAGGCTTCCGGCCTAGGAAGTCCCAGGCTTCAGTTAGGCCGAGGCACAGCCGCACTTCCCCGCCCAGGACGTCCGACCCGGAGCCGCCACCGCCGCCTCTATCCCCGCCACGCCTCACCGCCGCCTCTATCCCCGCCACCCCTCACCGCCGCTGCCGCCGCCTCCTTCGCCGCACTTCCCAGGGCTACACTCACACCGTCCCCACCTACCTCTGCTTCCTCGCAGACCTCCGACTTCTCAGACCGCCGCCGCCACTTCCTTCCTCACCGCTGCCGCCGATGAACTTAGCTGCCACGCCCACGACGTCGAACGCGACCCCGACGCTACGCACGCTGGCGCCGACGCTGACGCCGACGCTACGCACGCTGACGCCGACGCCGACGCTGACGCCGACGCCGTACAGGACGCTTTGACGCTGACGCTCACTGACACTGCATCTGTGACAGCGTCTGCGTTGTAACGTCGTGTATGGCGTCGGCGTCAGCGTCGGCGCCAGCGTGCGTAGCGTCGGGGTCGCGTTCGACGTCGTGGGCGTGGCAGCTAAGTTCATCGGCGGCAGCGGTGAGGAAGGAAGTGGCGGCGGCGGTCTGAGAAGTCGGAGGTCTGCGAGGAAGCAGAGGTAGGTGGGGACGGTGTGAGTGTAGCCCTGGGAAGTGCGGCGAAGGAGGCGGCGGCAGCGGCGGTGAGGGGTGGCGGGGATAGAGGCGGCGGTGAGGCGTGGCGGGGATAGAGGCGGCGGTGGCGGCTCCGGGTCGGACGTCCTGGGCGGGGAAGTGCGGCTGTGCCTCGGCCTAACTGAAGCCTGGGACTTCCTAGGCCGGAAGCCTCAGTGTTCGCTGGCAACGGCTGCAGCGGCAGTGAACCAGGAAGCCAGGAAGCGGCTGCTGTCGTGTGGGCGTCCCGTGGGACGTGGTGCTCTGGATGGCGCAGGTCGGTGGCGGGCGGGGCGGAGCGGAAAGATACCGCGGGGCGGCTCTGGTGCAGAGTCTGGGGTCAGCAGCGTCGGGCGGCCGGGAAGGAAGCAGCAGGTAGGGGCGGCGGTGCTGACGTGATGGGCAGCCGCGGCGAAGGCGGCGGGGCCTCAGTGACGCTGGGGTGGCAGTGAAGCAGGCGGCTGTGGCTCTGCGTTGGGCAGCAGAAGAGAGAGAGGGCGCGGTGGCGGCTTGAGTTGGCCGTGGCGTGGGCATCAGGTGGGCAGTACGGATTAACAGGTTGGGTCCGGACACGTCACAGCAGTCGTAATCTACTAAATGAAGGGGAAGGAAGCTAGGCAGGCAGTTGCGAGGGGGTTTTCTCTAGCTTGGAGAGTGCCCCTTGCCCTGGCTTTAGGCTCACAGCCTGTGGGCGTCATTTGTCAGATGCTTGGGGGCGCACGTTTGATGTGGGAGTTCAGTTTCTGCTTGGGATGTCTGTGGCCTGTGTTCCAGCGTCTGGATTGGAACTCTGGATCGTTTCCAGTTCCAGCTTTCCTGCTGAGGTGTGTCCTGGGGAGACAGCAGGTGATGGCAAGTGTCTGGGTACTTGTCAGCCCCATGGGAGACTGAGTTCCTGGCTCTTAACTTTAGCCTGACCCAGTCCTAGCTGCTGCAGGCATGTAAGGAGTAAGGGAGTAAATGGGAGAGCTCCATCTCTTTGCCTCTTAACCAACTAAAGTTAAAATTCTTCCAAAGTGGGTGGTTTCTATGTATTCTTAAGATTTATTTCAGAGGCAGATATTCATACCCATGCGTGTACATGCACACACGCACACACGCACACACACACACACACACACACGGCAAGAAACAGCCATAAAGAGGATTCTCATCTGCTGGTTGACTTCCCAATTCCCACAACTGCTGGGCCTGAGCCTGGCTGAGTTGAGGACTGGAGAACTCACTCCGTGTTCCCAGCAAGGGTGATGGGTACCCAAATGCCTGAGTCCTATCCACTGCCCTCCAGGTCCACATTACAGGAAGGTAGACGCAGGAGCCAGAAACAGCTCCCCGATTTCTTGAGCAATCACAACTGCCTTCCCCATCCACCTTAACAGGAAGCTAGAGTCAGGAGCCGGAGGTGGATACTGAACCCGGGTTCTTCAGGGATGGGATGCAGGTGACCTTAATTGGCTTGGTAACCAAGATTTCAAATCCTTGTCTCTCTGAATTCGAAAAACCATGACAGTTTAGCAACAGTTTTAAAAGGAAATTAAGAACTTACAATGTGTTTTAATTTCATTTCCTTCATATATTTATTTCTCTGCATATACTCTTCATCTTTCTCATGTGTACACACATTTTATGTAAATACTTTGGTACTCTGTGAAGCTTCGTGATGTAGCTTTTTTTTTACCATATCCTGTTTATAGTTAATACATTTCAATAATTCTTACTTATTGAATGTACCTTATTTACTTAGTTCTATACTGCGTTTTTGCAGTTTGTTTGGCAAATGGGTAAGCGGTGATGTGGGGAACAAATGGATGTGCATCGGTTTTCTTTGTATGTCTTTACTTTTTTTCTTTTAATTAGTGTTTAGCAGACTCAGTGTGTTTTGTAGACACAGCTGTAAGAACACCATGATATTGCCTTCCTCCCTCCCCCTTTCTCCTTTCCACTGTGTTTCCTTCTTCTTTTTCTTTCTGTCTTTGGTTTAGATTTTGAGCCAATTTTCAAATTACATTACAGTAAAAAGGCTGAATACTTCACTAGATAAGTTTAGCGAGTAAAAAACAAAATTATACCAGTTTAGTGAGACTATAGACACCGAGTGTAAACAGTAATTGAACGGAGAAATGAGCGTTTCATCCCTCTGTGGTAAATCTTTAAGTAGCTGTAGATCATTGAAACTGTGGTAGGATAACATTTTTAACCATCGGTTTCACAAAGGCATAAAACAAAGTTTTACAAACTGTATTCGCATCAGTACTGATACACACAAACATTTCTTTCTGTTTGATTCCCTGAGATTCCTCCCAGCAGTGTCTAAGTGTTCCCCTTTCCCCACATCCAAGCCAGCACTTGTTCCTCTGTTGTTTGGATTTCAGCCATTCTAATAGGGGTAAGGAGATACCTCATTGTGGTTTTGATTTGAGTTTCCCTGAAGCCTGGAGATGTTGAGCATTTTTTCATATGTTTGTTTGCCATTTGTATTTGTATTTCTTCTTTCTGAGAATTGTCTCTTGAAGTCCTTTTCCACTTCCGAACTGGATTGATTTTGTTGTTGTTGACTTTGTTAAGTTGCATGTGTATTTGGGATATTAATCCCCTGCAACTATTTTTTCCGTTCTGCTGTACGTCTCTCCACTCTAATTGTCATGTGCTTTGTTTCTGAGTTTGATATAGTCCTGTTTCCTTAGTTTTGCTTTTGCTGCCTGTGCTTCGGGGGTTCCCATCCAAGAAGTTGTTCCCACACCATCGTCTTTGAGTGTTTCCCCACGTTTTCTTCTAGCAGCCTCATAATGTCCATAATGTCAGGTCTTAAATTGGGTCCTTGATGTATCTTCAGTTGATTTTTGTATGTGAAGAGAGATATGGATCTACTTTGGTTCTTCTACGTATATGCATTCAGTTTTGCCAGCGCCATTTTGAAAATATTATCCTTAACGCCACTGTGTGGTCTGAGCACTTTTGTCAGAAGTCAGCTGGCTATCTGTATGCAGATTAAATTCTGGGCTCTCTCGTCTGTCCCATTGAGCTACGTGTTGGATTTTATGCCATTACTAAGCTGTGTTAATTACTGTAACTTTGTAGAATACTTTGAAATCGAGCATTATGATTCATCCAGGTTGGGTTTTCTTGTTCCAGATCACTCCAACTGTTTGTGGCCTTTTGTGATTCCACATGAATTTTCTTTCAAGATTTTACTTATTTGAGAGGTAGAGTTACAGACAGTGAGAGGGAGAGACAGAGAGAAAGGTCTTCCTTTCCCTGGTTCACTCCCCAGATGGCCGCAACGTGCAACATATTATTGTTGCTATACCCTATTCAGCCACGTTGGATCTGTTCTGTATTTTCTTGGAAATGAGGTTATTTTTTCAAAGTGTGTTAGTATTTGTATACCTTTAGTATTAAGGCCTATATGTAACTTACAGATCCCTTTGTCTATACCTTACTTCTTGACAGTGAAAAATGGGGGAGAAACACAGAGGATATACAAACAGCATTTGAAAAATTTTAAAAAATCTGATTTACCATCAAGCTATTCTTCAAACTAGCTGTATTTTTTATTTCATTTTAAAAAAAGGAAACCAGCACTTCCTACACTGAATTTAATCAGATAAAGCTTTTCTTTCATTGTGTGAACTCACAGGCTCGTTATTGTTTATTCAGCAAAACTTTGAGGGCCTAAGTACCCCACTTCCACTAGTAGCTCTTCAGAAATTCACATTTTTGGAGGTGAATCACACAAAACGATGTTTTTGGTATAGTCTTGTGAATAAGTATGGATTCTCTGTGTAAATTCTCTTGGGTGGCAGATAACTAAGTGGGAGTGTGGAGCAGAGAGAATCAATTCTTTTTCAGTTTCCTGTGGGTGCATTTCCTTTTATTAAATTATAATCAGTCAGAATTTTATTAAATTATAATCAGTCAGAAGCATGGGGACGTAAGCAACTGCTTGCTTTAGTTTTGAGTAATGCATCTCTGTAGAATCAACAGGTGCAGTGGCATACAGGAAAGGACTTTGGAGACCAGAACAGCGTCTTCCTCTAAATGAGTTCATTGTTTGTATCAGCACAGTATTCTTGTGCACTAAGTTTACACTACTTTTGTCATATGCTGTTTTTTTCTATTCGTCCTACATTTTAAATTGAAATGTTTCTTGTATTTTTTTTAGTATTCTTTAAGTTCCTTATTTTGGTGAAATTATTAAGTGGACACCTTTAGATTTTCCTAACATCTTGTGGCTCCATAGACACTCTATGGTATTTTAATTGATTTTCAGTCTTTTTTTCTATTGACACTGGCAGTTTTGCACAGACACTATGATATGTTCTTGGTGCATTAATAGGTTGGTTTGAAAGTCCATGATGCATCAGTTGTTTTTGCGCAAATTTGCATTTTTAAAAACAAGCGTTCGTAGTAGAACTGGATTGTTATTTTTCAATTTGTTATCTTCTGTGGAATAGAAACCACCAAAACAGGTAGTGAAATACGCTTTTGCATTTTTTATGCACCTTAGGTTCTTGTTGTCTAGAATTGTCACAAAAGCCTTGTAGCATTTTAATGATTGGGTAAATTGAAGAAAAGTGAGATTGTCACGCTTAGGGAAAATACAAGTTTTCTTTAACTGTGCATCTCAGTATTCAGTGTGTATGTTGATCAACTGAGGGTCTTGTTAACATGCATATTCTGCTTAGCACTCCAGGGCTGGGGCCCAAAACTCTGCCTTTGAACAAGATCCCAGGTGACAGCCATGCTGCTGGCTTTGTTTGAATATACGAATTAGTGTAAACTGTGAGTTCATTTCTGGTAGCCTCATTTGACAATGATGTGAAATCAACCTCAGTGTTTTTTTAGCCTAATATACCCAAAGTACTATCATTTCAACATTTAATTGATATGCTGAAAACTGTTAAGAGATTTCTTTAGTTTTTTTGGACCAAAGTGTTTAAAATCCAATGTATATTTTGCATTTACAGCCCATTTCAGCTTGGACTAGTCACGTGTAGTGTGTCCAGCATGTCACCCAGGATTGGTAGTGGCCACCTGCTGGGCCAGTACAGTGCTGGAGTATACTATCTAGATCAGCCACTCCCTTGTAGTCCTATAAAAAAAAGTTTCATGTGCCTCATTTCTGCTCTACTCTATTTATGCAAAGCAAGGTCGGGATTGATGGGACCTTGAGCTATAGGGTGCAGCTCGTTTTAATTTTATTCTTTGTAAGTGCACATTCATTATAGAAGACTTGGACAATACAGGGAATGGAGGAAAAATCAAATTACATCAAATCCGGTCATTGAGTCAATTGCTACTTTTCCCCAGGAGGAAATTTTTATGCCATGAAGTACTAGGGTTGTATAAAACCTTTCCAGATCACTTTATAAAACTTGTTTTATACACCTGTATTTAGTATTTACATAGTGGATTCAGCAGAAGGTTGATGTTGACAGTGTCAGTCTGAGAGGACTGACCAGGAGTACTTTTAGTGTTCAGGGAATAGTAATACTTACCTTTACCCTTAACTAATATGTGATGTAATCTTTTAGTTAGGTTTAAGTTTGAGTACCTGTACTTGGACGACACTGGGCACACTCCTGCGTTTTTGTATATGTTTTCTTGGGAGTGTTACAGATTTGACTGACATCCTGTATATATAATACTTTTAAAGCAGTTAGTTAAATGCTTGGTCATTAATGCCATAAATTATTAGATATACTCTTACTCAACTGGATGTGCAGTGTCAAGGAGCAGTCATTTGTCATTATTTGGGACACTGACACCCAATCTTGGAATATTGGAATGCCTATTTTGCAAGATCTGGTTCCACTCCCATATGCTGGGTGAGGTTGGATCACTTCCGCATATGTGGTATACCTGGCTTGAATTCCTACCTTAGTTTTCCTCACCATCATCTCCCTAGACCCACAAGTAGTGTGATTTGCATATACATTAAGTAGTCGAGTTAACACCCTGGGGCCCAGCCATCTAATGCCCAGCAGTAGAACTAACGCTTGACAGCAGAGACGGTTCTGCCTGCTGTTAGCAAGACATTCAGTGTGTGTATATTTGACATAGGTACGTAGTGATGGAACAAGGACAGGCGCCTCAGCCACTTTAGGTTTCTGTGACCCTTACCTTCTCTCAAGGGACCAATTGAGTCTCTCAATGTGGTGTTCTCCACCCCACCCCCTGCATTATTCCCCATGTTTGGAAGCCAGGGGGCCAAAACTTGAAAAACTTGTATGGAGAAGGTTACCTCTGTTTACTGCCCCACCCCCACCCCTAGTGCACCTAAGATATAAAAAGGTCCAGCCTATTGGGGTCTGGGCACTCTGCTGTGTATTGTGTGTGTGTGTGTGTGTGTGTGTGTTATGTGTGTGTGTGTGTGTGCGCGCGATTGTGCTTGTGTGCTAGCTGTTGGTCACCCATCTCTGCGGATTTGTTTTCTTTGGATAAGCTTTGTGTGGCTGTGAGTTCGTATTCTGTCTTTTCTCTGATCTGCACCCTTTTGCTTATATTTGGTGCCCCGTGTGAGAAATAGAGGAAGGGCCAGCATCTTGTCGCAATCTGCCAATCTCGTATTCTCTGGGTTAGAGCTGTGACCCCCCCACCCTTCATCTGGACAAATCCTTCCCCTTTTTAGTGTCTCCACCCACCCCTAACCTTCTCTTTCCTACAATCTCCTTTTTCCCTTCTGACCTGGAAGGCCCTGAGAGACGCCTCTCCAGAACATTTTCTCACTCCCGCTTGCACTTCTCATTTGGAGCGAATTCACAGCCAGAGCCTTTGCCTGATCTCATCGCTACATGCCCACATCGGACCTAGTTCTCAGCCCATCAGATGGGTAAGAGAGGTCACTCTCACCTCAGGCATGCTGGGGCGATGCTCGTGACCAGTTCATCCCCCCTCGGAGGGCCTGGGTGTTTAGTTGGTTTCTATCGCTGCCTCCTGTTAGAGGACTCAGGACTTAGGTGCTCGGTTGAGGTGATTTTTTTCCCAGGGAAGCCCTGCTAGAAGAACCTCTTCCCTCAGACCGTAGTTTGCTTAATCCATGGGTTCCAAATTTCAGCTCCCCTCTGGCCTGCCTCTGCAGACTTGCACAAGCTGGGCCTGAAGGGGGAGACAAAGCCAAAGCGATTATTCCACCTCAGCACGAATTTGGTGTTGTTTTTTTTTTTTTTTTTTTTTTTTGTCTCAAGATTCTCCAAGATTTTAATAACTTCACACAGAGAAAAGGCAAATGGTCAGAAGCCCCTATTCCAAGCCTTTTTCCTCCATTGGGGTCAACGTTGCTCACTCTAATTTCTCATGGAGGAAGAAGGCCTGGAGCCACCCCTTAAATCGTCAGCCTGCCCACCCCTCCTTTCTCCCACACCTGATAAGCTGGCCTTTCAGGAACACAACTCTTTGCTCACTCCATTCCCCCTCTTTCTCTGGTGCCTCCTTTTCCCTCTCCATTGGCAACAAGGAAAGTTAGCACCCTTCCAGCCTCTTCTCCCCGGAATTCTCTTTATCCTGCTTTTCCTGAGGGAGATCAAACTCTCTGTAAGCTCTCCGTCCCTCCCTCATATCCTCCTCTCTGAGATCCTGGCCCGGGAGTGTGACCCTCCTCCCTGCCCACCCCAGGGTCCTCCCAAGAGTCCATCTGGTGATTCCTGTCTGGCCAACCCACCTGATTCCCCTTCATTAAGCCCCCCTGAGGTCAGCTTTTCTCATTCCAAGCCCAAAAACCAGAGAAACACTTGGAATCTCCCCTAGAACCCTCGACTTTCCCTTCCACTGTTCTCTCAGGGATGCTGCAGCCTCTGGACCATGACCCTGTCATCACCCTTCCCCCTGTCTGGCTCTTCCCCACCCCTGTCACCGGCAGCCAAAACTTGCTCTTTCCTCTCTTTCTGACCTCTCCTCTCCAGTCTCCTCTGCCAGTCCCTCCCCCTGGGTGTAGAAAGATAGTGTAAAGGCTAGCAGAATGTGTATTGGCTCTGGAAAGCTCTGCACCTGAGACATGCCAAGCTCCAAAGACAATGCACTGTAAACTTCAACTAGGAGCCTTTCTCACGTGTGCCCACCTTCTCAGGGTCCATGTGGTGCTCAGCACCTCCCCCAACAAGAGCTTAAGAAAGGACTCTGCCTGCTGCTCAGATGCAGTGAAGCCTGACTTCAGCACCACCACCCACACTCCCACATGCCACCCTCTGTCCCACAAGCTAAGCCCCTGCTCTCTTTACGGTCCCCCCGTTTCTGCCCTAATTAAAATAGTCTTCTCTACCCATCGCTTCCCTCCTCCTATGAACCCGAAAATCCTGAAACTTAATGTAATGGAGCTGCATCTCACACTGCTCCTCTCACATCTAAATTCTCTCTTGCACAAAGACAGAACCTCTTTTCCAGCCATCTCTAATAATATGTTTCGCAGAGCTATCAAAAAAAAAAAAAAAAAACTGAGGAGCAGGGGTGAGTCCTGAGCAACTGTGTTCCAAAGAATGCTCCATGCCTAGTCGCCTTCCATCTTTTCCCCTCCCTTGTCTAGTGGCAGACAAAAATCTCTCTGCTAGTAACAAACTGTTCTGTCACTCTCCTGTACTGTGTCATATGTGTGCATGTATTGTATGTCCACATGGGAAAATTTATTAACAGCTCTCTGTTTCAATTGGGTTACACTTGTGTTAGACATTTGAGAAGTATTTCCAACTATATGTACTCTTTAACATTGGTTGAAGGCATTGGACCTTTCGGTAAATGTTTTCATAAGTTATTTGACAGCTGAAATGTTTGCTAAGTTTTCACGGGATTTTAAGTTATTGACAGTAAGCAGTCTGGAAATCTGACTTGTTCCCTCATTTCTCTAGTCTCTTCAAGATGGGAAACTGATTCTATTCTGCAGGACTCCCCATCAAGGTGTACAGTTTGATCTTCAGACCTTATATTAGACAGTTTCGATAGGGTGGACTCAAGGTTTTGATCTTACATAGAAGAACATAGCTCTCCTCATTGGCATCATCTTACCTCACAGGAAGAATATTGTCGTAACATGCCTGTGACCGTAGATTGCTAGCTCAGGCCACCAAAGATTAGCGACGGGATTGAGCGCCCCCTTGGCTGCCATTCCTAAAGGCTGCTCCTGGGTTCTACTTTAACAGAGACCAGGAGAAAGAGGAGTGAGTGAGGCAGCAATAGCAATGTAAAGTTAGGTGGCAGGCCAGTTAATGGCCACTTTACACCATGATCTGCCATCAAGGAGACCCAGCCAGGCCAGTCCACCCTTGAATGGCACCTGTTTAGGAAATGAGGGGTCAGGGCATTGGGCAAGTAGCTGTCATGAAGAGCCCTGTCGGCTGTGACAAGAGCCAGGCCACTGGAAAACGGAACTGCCCTCGGGGTTGAAGGACTCCTGGGTCAGAACCGCAGACCCTGTTGGCCCCAGGCTAAAAAGCGTTTCCCTCTGCCCAGCTCCCAAAGTAACCACCGCCATCAGGAGGACAGCCTCGGGTCAGCACCAATCAAGGCAGATGCCACCTCTTCAATACTAACTTCCTATTCAGGCCAGCCCTCCTCCCCGGCCAACAAGGTAATGGAAGTCAACGGGGTGTCTTCCCCAAGGGGGTTCCCATCTCCCTTGCTATGTCTCATCCAGGGCTACATGTGAAGAGACAGGCAGGTCTGGACCTCACAGATTCCTTGGCCATGCCTTAAAACACACCTGCTTATTACTGAACCCCTTCTGTCAGTTTCCATTTGCATCTCAGTAGGAAAACTCCCTCCTTTCTTAGATCCTGTAACAATGACTGTGTCCTGTGGCTTGCACCTTGTGTTTCTAATCTGCTTGTTAGACACCCTACACATGGAGTGGTCAGGCATAAACCTGTCTTCGCATTAACTGGACAGGACTCTTTCTTTCCTATATCCCCCATTGTCCTCATTTTGGCATCGTTCCCACCATGGGCAATGTTTCTGGTTTGTCTTTTTATCCTCGTAATCGTTAGCTGCTATTCCTACCATGTACAACATGTACATGTTTCAGAAGCCCTTACAGGAGGCTGTGACTGCTGTATCTCGAGCCGTCACGCAGGAGCAATACAAGGCTGCTTGCTCTCTCCTTCTCCAATCAATCTGATTCAGCGTATAGATACCCTGCCCCACGTCTACACCCCGTATCAGCAGGAAGTAGCCAGAAAGAAACCAGCGCCCCGCTTCCTTATCTATACTCAAAATCAGGATTGATGGAACAAGGACAGATGTCTCAGCCATTTTAAAAAAACTCCTGGTTACTCATGCCTTCTTTCAAGAGACCAGTTTCATCTCACATCCTATTGTTCTCCCCTCCACCCCCCACCGCCTGCATTCTCCTCAGGTTTGGAAGCCAGGAGGCCAAACTTGAAGAACCTGTATAGAGATGCTCATCTCCACCTGCTACCACCCACACCCACCATTAGCCCACCTAAGATTTAAAAAGGCCCTTCCTGCTGGGGTCTGGGCCGTCTGCCACGTGTTCAGTCTGTGTGCTCGCTGGCAGTTGGTCCAACTCTGGGAGTTTCTTTTCTTTGACTAAGTTTGATCTGGCTGTGAGTTTGTATTGTGACTGCTGTGGATCTGCACCCTTTCCCCTGCATTTGGTGCCCAGTGTGAGGAGGCACTGCTCTGTTTAGTCTTTACTTCAATGTTTGTATGACAATATGTCAGAAACAACCTGACGCTTGGCAGCTTCTGCAAGGTTCTGGCCTGTTCTGCAGTCTGTTTGGTGTGTGTGTTGGGGGGGGGGGGGCGGTGCTGATAGTCAAAAAGCAGACTAATACTAGTAAACATATGTTTCTCTGGGGTGTTTTGGATAGGATGCAAAGTGATGAAAAAAATTTTTTGCACTTAATGGTTGGGTTTTGAAAAATGGTTTTTTGGTTTTATTTATTTAAAAGACATAAAGGCACAGTACAGATAGTGACAGAGTGACGGGGGCCTGGGGTTCTTCCATCCACTGGTTCGCTCCCTAAATGATTGCCATTGCCAGGGCTCGCCAGAGCAAAAACCTTGAGCCTGGAATTGCATTGAGGTCTTCCGTGTTGGTGGGAGAGCTCGACTATTGAGACATCTGCTGCCTTGCTGGGCACATTAGCTGGAGGCTGGATCAGCAGTGGAACAGCTGGGACTCGAACCAGTGCCCGTATGGGATGCTGGCCTCACAGGCGGCGGTTCATCTGCTGTGCCTCAGTGCTAGCCCAAGTGAGGAGCAGGTTTGCAGACAGTTTCCGGGTTCATGGGAGTATCTACCTGTTGATTGTGAAGAGATGCATTCTGGTTTGGGATGGCTAGGGAAGTAGGAATGTAGAGTGAGGTAAGTTGAAAGGAGTAGGGTTCTCTGTGACCTTCTGCCTTCTCCTGAGGTTTTCTGCTGGTTTCTGTTCCTGCTGTCTCTTGGCCCTTGGATAATCAAAAGCATTTGTGTTTAAGGCTGAATACACAAGTACCTGAATCTGTTATCATGAGACACTGAATTGACAAAGGCTACCGAGTGTTCATGCACGCAATTTCCCTTTTTAAAGCTCTAGGATTATTGATTTAAGTTTCACATGGTTTTTAAATAGAGTGTGTATGACTTTAGTTAATATTTTAGCCCTCCAAATGTCCCATTTAGTTGGATCTGGACTAGTTTTATACATGCCCGCATGTAAATTTTTAAGCTTTGCTAGTTTGTTCACAGTGCATAGATTCTCACGCAGAGTTGTCATTTTGTTACCCAAGCCTAAATGTAATTTAGGTTTTAATTTGTCTCCTATTTAAGCCCAGATCTACTTTCGTTAAATCTAATTTCATGGCTTTTCCCAATTATCATATTCTTTTTTATCTCTGATAAAATGAAATTTAATTGTGAAAACTGAAAGTTTTGAAAAATAGTCACATCTTTAGATGGCACAGAGATCTCTGCCCATTGGTCAAAGTCTTTATATAATAAATATGTAATATAAAGCTTTTATATTGACTTCTACTTGATCTGCATTTTTCTTACAAGTACAGTAAACTTTCTAATGTACTTGGTTTCATTTTTTGCTTACGAAGCTTTATGTGTCCTGCCTCTGTGTTTGCATAAGTGTTTGTAACTTTTTGTCACTCATTGACTGAAGCTATATGTGGGGACATGCCTGAAGAATGGCTTCCTTGTTGTTGTTAAAATTTTATTCATTTTGGCCGGCGCCGCGGCTCACTAGGCTAATCCTCCGCCTTGTGGCGCTGGCACACCGGGTTCTAGTCCCGGTCGGGGCGCCGGATTCCGTCCTGGTTGCCCCTCTTCCAGGCCAGCTCTCTGCTGTGGCCATGGAGTGCAGTGGAGGATGGCCCAAAGTACTTGGGCCCTACACCCCATGGGAGACCAGGAGAAGTACCTGGCTCCTGCCATCAGATCAGCGCGATGCGCTGGCCACAGCGCGCCAGCCGCGGCAGCCATTGGAGGGTGAACCAACGGCAAAGGAAGACCTTTCTCTCTGTCTCTCTCTCTCTCTCTGTCTACTCTGCCTGTCACAAAATTAAAAAAAAAAAGATTTATTCATTTGAAAGGGAGGATTACAGAGAGGCAGAGAGATTGAGAACGCTGGTTCATTCCCCAAAGGGCTGCAGTGGCCAGAGCTGTGCCGGTCCAAAGCTGGGATCCAGGGTTTCTTCTGGTCTCCCGTGTGGATGCAGGGCCCCAAGGATTTTAGCCATCTTATACTGCTTTTCCAGGTCATAGCATAGAGCTTGATTGGAAGTGGGACAGCCCGGACTCAAACCAGCACCCGTGGGGGATGCCAGCACTGCAGGCGGCGGCTTTACCAGTTTTGAAACAGCGCGGGCCCCGGGAATGGTTTCTTGAATTACGTGTGTGCGTGTGTGTGTGTGTTTGTGTGTGTGTATGAATAATAGAGCAAGGTTTTTATCCACTGATTCACTCGCTGGATGACCACAATGGCCAGGCCAAAGCTAGGAGCCAAGAACCCAATCCAGATCTCCCACATGGATGGCAGGAGTCCAGGCACTGGGGTTGTCTTCTGCCCTCCCAGGTGCATTAGCAGGGAGCTGAATCAGAAGCCAAAGAGCCAGGATTCAAAACCTTAAGTCCCATATGGGAAGCTGGTGTCCCAAATGCAGCTTAACCCCCTGAACCACACCTCCAGATCCACTCAGATTTATCCAGTATCAGACAGAATCTACTTTGTATTACTGATCATTAATCTCCTTTTCACACAACATTTGCACTAGTAATGTCTCAGCGAATGCTGATAAATTGGTGTTTGGAAAGCAGTATGGAAATAGATCTCAAGAATGCAAGGTGCAAAAGGAAGATTGAGCCAAGGGATCAGAAGATTGTTTCTCAGGTCCGTAATTTATATCCTGCAAGAAAGTAGAATTAGCAGACAACAGGTATGCCCGTGTGTTACGGAGTAACCCTTCCATGTTGTCTGTTGGCAAGGGTTTTTCATGAGGGGCTTTTCCATGAGCTTTCTGAAGTTCACATGCATGGATTTAAAAATAAATTGCACCTGCAAGTGGCCCCAAGTGATGACCTGATTGGCAACAACCAGGAGAGTCAAGATATAAGTTTGAATCAAAATGTCATCACCAACAGCCGTACATCAACTCCCAAGAGAATCATGTTAAGAAAAAGACTCAGTTTAAGCTCAAGTCCTAGTCCAAAACTGATTAACAAAAAGGTGAATTGCTCAGGAATGAAACCAGAAGCATGCAATATATTTCAATATGTGAAAAAAATTGCACCAAAGTAAATATGTAAATGTCATTTTCCACAAACTTCAGCAAATACTCTTGTACTTTTAATTGTTTTAATCTTTGTTGGAACATAAGCTCTCTGAGAAGGCAGAACATTTTGTTTTGCTCAGCAGGGTGTTAGAAGTGCCTAGCACATAGTGTGTGCTCATAAACATCTGTCAGCTTTATTGAAACACAAAATTAGCCCCAAGCCTCGCGTTAAACACAGTTAGTTAGATGGTTCTATATTGAAAAACAGTGCAGTCCTAGGTGCAGAAAGAAATTTGTTCCAATTTTCTGATCTCGTGTAACAAGTCATCCCAGACGTTGTGGTTTAAATGGTACTTATTAATTTCCCAGTATTTGGGGGATGGCTGGGTGGTTCTTACTTGGAGTTCTTGTGTGTATAGTCTGGTGGTGGCTGGGCTGATGGTTCCTTCATCATGAGGCTGTTGAAAGCTGGCAGAAAGTAACCATTTCTTCCTCCAGGTGGTGTCTCCACTTGGCTCACTTCTGCTTCCTCACAACATGGGCAGTAGGAGTGATTTCTTACACCATAGCTGGATCCCCATAGAGCCAGTGTTAGGAGAGGCCCAGGTGGCAGCTGTCTTGCTGCCTTAGAAGCCTTAAGATCATTTATGCATGTTCCAGGAAGGAAAGGATTCATCTACTCACAGGATGTTAAACTCACGATGTTATTGACAAAGTGACCTTCTGAACAGAATGCCATGGAAAATATGGAGCAGATAGTGTTGAACGGTAATTAAGAGTGAAACGGTGTGTCTGGTTAGGTTGCCTTGGGCAAGCCCTGACTTCACCATACACCAGTTCTCTTTGACACATCTTGGCCATTTCAGGTTCAGTTTCTCACCCATAATAATGAATAAGCCCATTCAAATTGCATCGTTAGATTATTCTGCCATTAGGCATGTTTTGGTGGAACATTTTGAGACTCTTTGTAAAAGGAACATGGAAGCTAATATAATCAAACTAATTAATTGTATTTGGAATATTGTTTTTCTTGTCACTTTGACCACTAAATAACTTTAAAAGTGGAATGAACCAGTGATTGGTTGGTCTTAAGTTTTAGGAATGTAGGGAGATGATCCTTCTTGTCTTTGGCCTTGGGTGCATGCATTACGGTGCAAAAATGCTGCAAAATCATCCCATCCCTGACTTTCTTGAAGTTTACTATTAGATAAATTTATTACAGATCAGTCCTTACTGATATTTAGATCTCTGTTCTTTAATGCTAGAAGTGTACTCCTCAGTGAGCCTGAAGAAAATTCTACTTCTTTGCAATGAATTCTGCTACCACTCCAGATTCATCCTGTTAGCCATCTGATGCAACGTTGAATGAGTTTTCTGAATCAATGCTGGTTTCTTGGAAGCCAAACCATGTAAAGGCTTTCAAAGTTAGAACCTGTACCTATTGTTCTTATGAAGCCAGGCAGGGTCCGTTGATTGGCTTCTGGATAAGTGAAAGTGAAGAATTTGGAGATTGCTTTTGGGACCATTTCCTAATCTTATGCTGAAGCATCAGCTCTGTTTGTCCTGAGGTTATTTCAGGTAGTTAATAGATCTGCCTTCTCTTCATTTCACTTGATCTTAGACAGCAAGGCATTCTGATTGTTGAGCGTTAGTGTGTTTTTATCTTTTTGCTTGTTATCTCTACATTCTTCTGCAATGATGGAGTGTCAGAAGAGGCTCACCGAAATAAAAATCAAAGGACTGTTTTCATTTTCTAGTACTACCTTGTAGATCGTCTGTTCACATAACCATCAGTATTCCACCTTCTTCTTGGCATATTATGAGGGAACCATGAAAGGTTTTAAAAACTCGTAAGAGCATTCAAGTGCAAGTCATTCTTAACAATGGAAAGGAGATAGATGTTGTTGTTTTCCAGTTCTGAAGAAGGTAGACTTCCAGAATGTTTAAGGTGTGCTGGGAATATTATAGGAGATGAAGATCGACTTTTCTGCACCTGGTCGTGAATGTTTTTCAGACCAAGGGTGTGATTTCTGTTCCTCCTGCCTCGTTCTTTTAAATGCTGTAGTCGTTTTCAGTCTTTCTCAGTGAATGTTCTTACTCCCATCTCCCCATACGTTCCACCCAGTATCCGTGTTGACCCACATTTTTTTGCCTTTAAAGAGAGTTACCATCAAGGAGGATGAGCAGACCAGAATCATTGTGGTGGCCAGATTCATGAGGAGTGGTAGGAATCTAAATGATAATTGTGTACACACAGGTCACCATGGGTGCCTTGTGAATAGTATTTCCAATGTGGAATGAAGAGCATTACAGTCTTTGGATAGAACACAACCAGATTACTCAGATACAGTTGTCTCTAGAGATTCACATGTGGGAACTTACCACAAGAAGTGGTAGAAAAATGTGACTGCAAGGTCTTAGTGTAGGCTTTGAAAGTAACGTTCACAGTCATTTCAGTGTTGCTGATGGGAAAATTACTCATGAGGATACGCAGCATTTAGAATGAGTATTTTATAAAACCTAGTAACTCAAATTTCGAGACAATTCGTGATGCGGGAGTCATTCCAAGTATTATATTGTCGTTGTCCATTCATGGAGACGTGCATGGAATCAGGAGCCTGAAAAGAGTGATGGTCTCTATAAGATCCTTCAGTGGGGCAACCAAACTTTGCTTTCATTATGGAAACAGTTGTAAAGGACAGTTTCTTACTTCCCAAATTTCGTGTCATGGGGCTTCTTATTCATGTCAGTCACGAACTCTGGGAAGTGACAACAATCCCAGTTGTGAGTAAAAGGCCCATGGAAGTGACACAGATTTGGGAAAGCCGAGAATTTGTTTGGAAGTTGAGATAAAGAATGGACTCTGGGTATATCAGATGTTTCATACTTTGTTTTTAAAAACAGAATAGTTAACGTGTTTGTAGGAATAGATAGCATGTGAGGATTCAAACTTGACAACATACGTTAGATGTTTTCGTAAAAGCTGCTTTGGTTTTCAGTCGTTTACTCTATTTCACTGCCTTTCCACTCTTGTAAATTAACTATTCAACTGCTACACAGTCTTTATAACTTTATGTTTTACATAATTATAGTCTGTGCTGCTTCATAGTAAGACTGTACTCCACCCAAATTAGAAGCAGTCAAAGAAATTAATTCAATAGCAGTCAAATTCACGTAAGTGAATGCTGGAGGCTCAAGGATGTGTAAGTACTGATTTTGTGCTGCTGGCACAAAACTTCTCTTTATTGGTATTATTAGAAGGATGTAGTATAAGTCTTTGTTAATGAAATCCTCAGAAAGGAGGTGATTAAATAGAACTAAGTACTTCCTCAGCATACATACCACTTACTTGCTGATCGGTATCGGGAAATACTGAATCTGGCTTCTCATGAAACTTTTGGTCCCGGGGAACAAGGTCTTGTAGGTCCATCTTATTAAAGATTTGTTTATTTGAAAGGCAGAGTTGACAGGGAGATCTTCCATCTGCTATTTCACTCCCCAAATGGCCACAATGGAAAGCGTTAGGCCAGGCCAAAGGCAGAAGCCTGGAACTGCATCCGGGTCTCCCAAAGCGGTGCATGGACCCAAACACTTAGGCCTCATCAACTGCTTTCACTGGCAGATTAGCAGGGAGATGGAATGAAGTGGAGCATTGGGACTCGAACCTGTGCTCACGTGGGATGCTGGCATTGTGGGCTGCGGCTTAACTGACCGTGCCATAGTGCCAGGTCATATCAGGCCCATTTCTAAAACATTGGAGATCTTTTGGGAAGATCACTTCGGTCAGACCTGCTCGGTAAAGCAATCCCAACAGAGTTCCTTTCCTCTGCTGCTTCACTGCTCGACTGCCTGCAACTGCTGGGGCTGGGCCAGGCCAAAGCTAGGAGCCGGGAACTCAGTCCAAGCCTCCCACGTTGGAGGAAGGGAACCAGATGATTGAGTCAACATCTACTGCCTCCATGTGTGTGCATTAGCAGGAAATTGAATCGAAACTGGTGCTTGGTCATGTATGGAATTTGGATTTCAAACCAGGATTTGGTTCCCAACTGCATCACGTACTCTAATCTGTCATTAAAAATGTTGTAATCTGCGTATGCCTTCATTCTGCTTCTGTTTTCTCCGTTGCAGCCTTACACTTCTAGTCATCTACGAGACCCTCATCCACCCAGTTTCCACCATTGCACCACCATCCCTCCTACTCTATGTTAGCTTCAACCTACTTGAGGGCCTACATACTTGCCTCCCACTCTGTCCTCTCTGTATATCCTCCCATTCCTTCTGGCCCACCACGTTGGACTCACTTTCCTCGTAACCTCGAACCCTTGGGGAGAGCCTCAGGTGGCCACTGGGCTCACAGCCCAAGAATGTCCAGAAGATTCTACTTGTTCTTCCTTCCTCATTGTACCCCCCACCCCATCCCAGCTTAGGTGGCAACTAAGGCAGGGATACCTGTGCCTACCCATCTTCCAAGACTCCCTGTAGCACCTGCTCCTCAGCTGTCTACCTGGCCAGCCTGCACCCTTCCTTGGAGCTCTAGAGCCCCTCAGACCAGGATGGTTTCAGGCCCTTGCTGGGTGGGAGCTCATCCACCTACCCCTCTGGATGGGCAGTGGTTGTAGGTTTTGAGGCCACAGTGCATTTGTTATTATGTACTAGGAGCATAAGGACTACTAGCTGCATGGAGCTGAGGTCAACAGTGGGCTCCCAGCCATGTCCACCTTCTCAGTGCCCCCATAGCCGTGTATGGTGGCATCTCCAGCAATACACCGCCCCTCCCATCAGTGAGCAGACAGCCTCACGGGCTCCTGAGGGACCACGGCCACCAGCAGGTATGGTCTCTTATGTTTATTATTTATCTCTCTCTCTCTCTCTCTGTTTATTTATCTCTCTCTCTCTCTCTCTCTCTCTCTCTGTGTGTGGTGTGTGTGATTTTTTAAAAAATAAGCATTAGTTGATGTTAAAACAGAGAAGGGAGTGGTTGTTTTTCTGTCTTAAAAACTGTTCAAAAGAGAAAGAAGAAAACAGGCATGTACCAGTTCAAACAAGAACAGATCCCATAGATGGATCAATCCCTGTATTCCTGCAACTCCTGGAACATGACCAGGCTGAATCTGAGAACCAAGGCTTTGAAGCACAGTTCAGGTCTCCCAAGTGGGCAGATGTGAGATAACCACTGGAGTCAGCATCAGCTGTCTCACTGGAACCATGTTTGTAGGAAGCTGGAATCCCAGGATGAAACCCAGAATTAAACCCAGGCATTGTCTTATTGGACCTACATAGGCCTCTTTCTAGCCTCTTAACTGTTTGGCTAACCGCTGCAAGGATGGTTCCCCTCTTCTTTGTCCCCTTAGTGCATGCCTGTAAGGAATGAGTTCCTTACATTTCATCCTGTAGTTACTAACTCAGTAATGTGCCAAGTACTTTACTGCTGTATTCTATCATTCTAATAATTGTCAAGATTTCTTCCATAAAAAAGGTTAAAAAGTGGAAGAAAGGAATCAGTTAAGGTTTTAAAATTTAATAAAAGAAGAAAAGTGTGACTCCACTGAACATTTGGCCAAATATATGATTCCAAGGTGAATGTGGATGCCTTTCTTGTCCTAATGAAACTGAAACAGTTGGGCTGTCCTTTTGTTTGTACAACTTAGATTTGAGAGGCTGATGCCTGTGTCCTCAAGTATGACATTTCAGTTGTCAAATGTAGCTACGCAAAGATTTCAGAAAATGATAACCTCGGGGAGTAGTAAATATGTGTGTCCCTGACAGCGGTTTCGTTTAGTTGTGTTTTGATGAGTGGAAACCATACATGAAAATTGATTGCAGGAAATAACTTATGATATCCTTGCTTTTAGTAACATACATATAAAGTAATGGAGATTTGATTTATGGTAACGATTCTACAATCATATATGTGGGCCTGACCTCTTTGATTTAAGCAGCTACTGCATAGAGATGCAAGCACCTTCATTGAAGCATTGAAGTTAAAAGTCATGTTAGTATTCTTGTCTGCCACTTCTTAACTATATTCCTTTCTCTGTTGTGCCTGTGTAGTTATTGCACAGAGTGGGAGAAAATGATTTAGAAAGTGTTTCTTTTAGTTTCTGAAAGACAGTGTGTATAATTGTTGCATTTCTTTGAATATTTGCATAATTCACCTCTAAAACCATCAGGGAGTAGAGAGCTATCTTTCAGAAGATTTTGCCAAACTAAAAATTCTATTGCTTTGATATTTATAAGAATCATTAATTCATTTCATCTTGTTTAAGCTTATAGTTTATAGCTTTCAGGGAAATGTATTATTTCAGATAAAGGTGTTAAGTACATAAAACTCAGCAGAATTTTAGCTCACTGTCTTTCTTAAAAAATATTTATTTATTTATTTATTAGCAAGTCAGAGTTACAGAGAGATCTTCCATCTGCTGGTTACTCACCAGATGGCCACAACGGCCAGGGCTGGACCAGGCTTGAGCCAGGAGCTTCCTGTGGGTTCTCCCACGTGGGTGCAGAGTGCAAGCACTTGGGCATCTTCCCTGCTTTCCCAGGCCATAGCAGAGAGCTGGATCAGAAGAGGAGCAGCTGGACCCAAACCATCACCTAGATGGGATGCCAGTGTTGCAGGCAGCTTTACCCTGCTACACCACAGCACTGGCCCCAACTACTATCCTTCTAATGTATATGTGGTGTGTGGCACCTCCATAATTTGTCTTCTCTTTTTCTTTATCATTGCAATAAAGATATATCAGTTTTGCTGACGCAGTTTTTGTGTTCACTAGTTTTTTGTTTTGTTTTCAATTTTAATCTGTTTCACTCTTTGACTTATTAGTTGCTCCCTTATGCTTGGCTTAGTTTATTTTGCTGTTCTTTGTTATTTTTTAAACTAAAAATTATTGTTGAATAGATATATCTTTCTTCTCTTCTAATAATGCCTGTATTGCTATGAATTTTACTCCAAATACTGCTTAAGTTGCATCTGTATAACTCTGATACATCTGCATTTTAAATTTTTTAAAGTTATATCCTTTTCTAATTTATCTTGAGACTTCCTCTTTGACTTAGGGATTTAGAAGTGTATCGTGGGGCCAGCACTGTGGCCTAGCATGTAAGGCTGCCACCTGCAATGCCGCATCCTATATGGGCAACCGCTATTTGAGTCCCGATTGCTCCTTTTCATAATCCAGCTTTCTGGCCTGGGAAAACAGTAAAGATGGGCTATGTCCTTGGGTCCCTGCACCGCATGGGAGACCTGGCTCCTGGCTTCAGATTGGCTCAGCTCTGGCTGTTGCCCTGCCAAATAGGGGAGTGAACCAGCAGATGGAAGACCTCTCTCTCTCTCTCTCTCTCTCTGCCTCTCCTTCTCTCTCTATGTAGCTCTGCCCTTTCAAATAAAATAATAAATCTTTAAAAAAGGAAGTGTATTGTTTTACTCCAAGATTGGAAGTTTCCAGCTATCTTTGTAGTATTAATTTATAAATTAAATAAATTTACATCTAATAACATTCTTTATAGCATTAGTTCTTTAAAAAACTTTGAAAGTCCTGTTTTATGATGAAGAAATGGGCTACATTGGTGAATTTCCTTACGGACTTAAAAACGTGGGTCTTCTGTTATTTTTTGGGTGCAGCATTCCTAAAAACATCAATTATACCCATTTGATTGAAGTTTGATGCAATTCTTCAATATCCTTAACTGATTTGTCTTCTAGTCCTATCTGTTACTAACTGATGCGTCAACAATTACAAATAAAATTGTAAATATTCTATTTCTCTTTTGATTTTCGTCAACTTTGCATAGTGAAGTTATGGTTGCTATGTAATATGCATGTAGATCATTTATTGTTTTTTTTTTTTTTTAATTGCACCTTTGGGCAACATGCCATGACCCTTCTAACTCCTTCTAATTTTTCTCTGCTCCAAATTGTACTTTCTCTAGTAATTAATACAGTCGTTCAGATTTTTTGGATTAATGTTTGCACAGGATGTATTTATTTACCCCTTTACTACTTTATCTATTTCGATGTATTTGAAGTAAGTTTGTCATAGACAGCATCAGGAGGGGTCATTTAAAATAAAATCCTTTCTGAAAATTTCTCTCCTTCACTTGCTGTGTTTAGGCCAGCTGCATTCAACATACTCATTGATAGTTTTGGATTTAGCCCAATTTCATCATCTGTTTTTTGACATTGAACTCCTTTATTTCAGTTTCTCCTTTCTTGCTGTCAGGTGACTTGCATGGTTTTTCATTCCATTTTAATTTATCAGTTGTGATGTATACATTATCTGTTTCTATAGATTGTTAGTGACTGCCCTCAGAATTAACACACACTTTCTTTTTCATAGGCTCGTAACAGTTTTGCCGTATCAGGGAGAAATTTTACCATCAGGTAGGTCCTTTCTTTTCTCTTCTATGTCATAGTTTTCTTACATATTCCACATATCCCAACAATCCACATTAAAAATTCATCAGGTGAATGTTATAATTTTTGGTTCAATCATTGAATCAATTTTGTTTTAAAAGATTTATTTATTTTACTTGAAAGTCACAGTTACACAGAGGGAGAGAAGGAGAGATCAGAGAGAGAGAGAGAGAGAGAGAGGTCTTCCATCCTTCCATCCCCTGGTTCACTCCCCGAGGACTGCAATGGCCAGAGCTGCCCCAATCTGAAGCCAAGAGCCAGGAGCTTCTTCCAGGTCCCCCATATGGGTGCCGGGGCCCAAGGACTTGAGCCATCTTCTACAGCTTTCCCAGGTCATAGTAGAAAGCTGGTCGGAAGTGGAACAACCGGGTCTCAAACCAGTGCCCATATGGGATGCCGGCACTGTAGGAGGCAGCTTTATCTGCTATGCCACAGCACCGGCCCTCATTGAATCCATTTTAAAAACCTATTGGGGCCGGCACTGTGGTGCAGTGGGTTAAGTCTCAGAGAACGTGGCGGTGAGACGGTGTCACTAGTCAGGGTTAGGGCCTGGAACTCTTCCTCTCCTGCAGTGGAAGGCTGTGTCTTTAACTGTCAGTGTGATGACATCCGCCTTCCCAGAATGCACCTGTCACATCCAGGTCCAGGATGCGTGCTCGCACCCCAACACATTCGTGGAGCTACTCGGAGGGCGCACCAGCCAAGGAGCTGCACCTCCAGCGCGGATGAAGGCTGCCGTTTTCTCTCTTTCTCCGCGGAGCGCTGCACACCGGGAGCCAGGGACCGCTTGTGCGTGCTTTTCCCGTGCAGAGCCGTCCACCTTGGTGCTTTCCTGCTCTCTATCTCCGACGTGTGCATGGACCAACCAAACCGTAGGTACCATTTTCGTTTTTTTCTCTTTTCTTGTCCACGGGCAGTTCTTTGGCCCGCTCTTGTTGAGCATTTCTCTGTGCGGGGCAGCCCATCCTGGGCCTGAATGTGTGTGTGTTTCCTGGGTGCTACATAACCTCCTTCCTATTTGCACGTGGGGCCGGTCTGCATTTTGTGTTTCTGTCTTGGAAGGAGACAAGAGCCTGCACCAAATTTAATATAATCTGGGTTCTGGTTCGAGTCTCGGCTGCTCCACTTCCTATCCAGCTCCTGCTAGTGCCCCTGGGAAAGCAGCGGAGGATGGCCCCAGTACCTGGGCCACTACACCCACATAGGAGACAGGGGTAGAGACA